AGCAGGGGCTGGAACCAGATGGTCTTCAAGGTCCCTTCCAACCTTGACCAGTCTAGGATTCTGTGACACCTTAGGCTCCTCTTAGCCTAACGTGCAACAGAGCATTTCGAGGCTGCAAATTAAACCTTTCGGGGCTACTTTACAAGTGTCGTCAAACTGACAGGAGGAGGAAGGCTGAGACTTTTGGGCAGGAGGTAAAACGGCATCTCCTGACAGCGCGGTGATTAAATCAGGTATGACAGTCGTCTTCTCCTGTTTGGTGCTCTGGTGCATCAGCACCACGGTTACTCTGGAGAGCCTTCCCTCCTTGTACTAACCTTTAGGAGAAAGAGGAGCCGTGCCTTGGAGCAGAAAGAGGTGAAGGTGTTGGGAATGTGGCACAGGGGATCGCTCTGAGGGGCGAGGGGGTTAGAGCCTGACCTGAAATACCAAAACCACTTCCCTGGAGCTGTCGCTTCCGTGACAGATGGGATAGTGAGGGCAGGGAAGGGATCTGACAGCCACGAGCTCTCCGGTTAGGCACTGCTCAGATTCCTCATGCGTACCCCCATGGTGTTAAACTCACCCTCTCCCTGCCTGCTTTTCTAAGGCCAGGTAGGATGGCTAACGAATCTTACCTGTCTGGTTGCTCTGCTCTTTAGCTGGAATGTTAGCCATGCTGCCAGGAACTCTGTACTGCGCTTAATTACAGCCTGCCACTCGTCCTTCATCCTCACTGCAGCTCAGCCCAAGCCCAGTCCGTCCCAGCCTGCCGAAGCAGCTTCACACATTGCTGGGCGCTGACATAACCTTACATGGTGAACAAACAACACCCCTGACTGAAAGAAAGCAGGCCCAGCCAGCCAAACGTGCTCACCGCACGGCTCCGGAGGGACCCAGCAGCCGGGAGGTGACTCACATGGGGATGGAGCATTCCACCAACACATTGCAGCATTTATCTCCTTAGAGATAATCCTCAAGCAGCCGTGCATTAAGGCGTAAATCCATCCCTTCTCGATTCACGCACTTAAGACACACTTGAGACGGGCGTCTGGTCGCCTTGGGCTCCTTCCGTAGGCAGGGAAGCAAAATCGGAGGTGAACCAAATTTCAGGCGGGCTGTGTCCCCCTCCAGACGTGCCTTCGAGACTGTTTTAGGGTGAAGACGCAGTGGTGGGATAGAGCTGAGCCTGGTGGCGTGAAATTAAGTCAGGCTTCCTCTTGTGGAGCAAGGAAACGGGGCGGGAAGCAGCTGAAAACCAACCACAGAGGCTGGAGGAAGAAAGCTGTTGGCTGTCTAGTCTTCAGGGGTCAAGATTTGACTGCCGCCATCCCTGGGTCTCAGAAATGAATTTTCTAAGGGCTCTATGCCCCCCATATTCCCGCAGTATCTCCCCAGTGCCACGCCAGAGTAGGTCAGCGCAGGCAAAAATTCCCTGCCCGCCCATTCCGATGGGTCTGCGCTTGTGCAAATCACGCGCGTCAGGAGCCGAAGCAAACAGTCGTGCAGATGTGCACACAACTGTTTCTCCTAACTATCTGTATTTCAAAAGGTATTTAAGACAAGGCAGTATTTAATACAAGTAGTTCAATTTCACACTAATATGTCAGATTCAGGGAGGAAGTTCCCAATTGGTTTCATTCTGGTTGATATTGTTAAAGTCAGTGATTCTTACTCTCTTTATCCCTGCCAAGATCTAGTTAGAATTATTCTGAAGAAAGGAATGTATAGAGTGCTTAGGAGCGTGTTACTGGAGTAATAGCTTGAGAACTAATTTTTAAAAACACGGTTGTCCTGATGTTTGGGTATTTGATTTTTAACTTGACTTCCTAAAGCAGCAGGGTTTGAGATCCTGTGCCAGCCTCCAACCCTCTTGCCTTTCCCCTCTCCGTTCTTCTCTGCTTTGGGAATTGCTGCTCCATGGCAACCTCAGCTGAGAAGGAGGTGCGAGTGTCCCGGCTAGTTTAATCTCGTGCATGGTTTTGGGAAACAGTCCCCGGATGAGAAAACGGATGAACTAGGGCCTTACAGAGGGCCTTGGATTTCCTGTCTTAAATGCCCTATTCGGCAGCACCTGCCTGGGTGGTCGCTGCGTTCGTGGTGGGTTTCATCAGGAGTTGCCGCAGCTTGGGTGAGAATATACGCGGTTCAATTCGCCAGTTATTAGCTTTTTCCTCCCCCCTCTAAAAATAAAATTCCCTTGGGAAAAGAAACCTCTGGAGGAACTGGAAGCCTCCAAAATTTGCATGGTTTCGGCAGACCGTTTGCTTCGGAAAAAAAACAAAAACCCCTAACTGGGCTGAGGCAGCCGTTGTGGAAGGTGGCGTGGCTTAGGAGGGGGTTGGATTGCTGCCCGGAGAAGGCTCGGCAGGAGCAGCAGTTCTTTGCCCGTGAATCACTACCCGCTGGGAGCAGCGCAGGGGATTGTCACCCTCACAGAAATCCACCTGCGCCGGCTGTGGGTGTTACCAGCACCCAATGACAGGGTGGGTTTTGCCTGTTCGCTGCTTAGCTCGCCCCTGGCGGGGCTCATGCCTCGCAGCTCGCGGGTGGGAGAAAGCGGCCGGCTCCGCAAATGAAGGAGAAGTGCTTTGAGGAGCAGCGTCATTTCTGAACGGTCTTTTCCCCCGGCTGCGCAGTCCCACAAAGCGGGAACTCTTCTCAAGGCCTGTAATCGGGTCCATCGTAAGCTGGAATCCCTTTGTGGGTTCTCGGCTGCCTAATCCCACGCGTGTGCACGTGCCGCGTCCTTATCTCTGTGCCTGGTGGGTGTGGGGTGGGTCCTAGTCCTCTAGTCAGGCTTTTTTTTTTCTAATTTTGAGGGACCTGGCATCCCTGTCACATCTTATCCCAATGTCCAACTAGGTAGTAACCATTGAAGAAAATCGAAAGGTCACTGGAAACACACGGACAGCCCATTTGTGCAAGCACCTTTCTCCTTAAGAAATCCTGCTGAAAAGTAAATGAAGTGCTAGCGTAGGGAATTAATGAGGCAGTTACTGAGTACGAATATGAGTACAAACTGTGAGAGCAGATATGGGTGACTGATCTGACATTTCTCCATCAGGCCTATCTGATTTTCCTGAGTTTTCCTACCTGGGTTTTTCCTGGCTATTGGGAAATAAACCAAGAAGTATCTTTTATCACTGCAGGTCCAAAGAGCACTTATTTCCTCGGAGAAGTGCAAGGAAGACCCAAGTGCTCCAGAGAGGGGCGACAGGCAGGGACTGCCCCTTTTAGGGCAGGGAGTGAATGGCACAACCCGTATCGTGGCTTTGATCCAAGCTCAGGGCTGCTGCCTGTCAGCATCAGTCTTGTAGCAAACCCAACATCCAAATAAAGAGCAGACAGACACCCGCCATAAGGAACGCAGCTGTTTCGGGGCACCTGGCTGTCAGTGCATCACTCCCTGAAGGATGCTGAGTGTTAATGATTTCAGCATAAGGTCAGGAACCAATCTCCTCGTTCCTAGTCCCGCTCTGTGAGCTGGAGCACGGCGTTTAGCTGCTGTGTCTCTGTTAATCTGCCTGCGAAGCGGAGGTGTGGGTCTCTCCCCTAATTTGCAGACGCGTCGAGAAGCTGGTTTAATCAAAGTCTGCAAAGAGCTTTGAGGACCTTGGGCTAAACTCTCTGGGGAGGGCACCGTTATTATTTATGCATTGCTTCATACATCAGCAACAGGTTTGGGCTATTACCTCAGGGATATCTACCGGTGTCAGCGGCGGGGTAACCCCTTTGCGTCAGTTTGACAGTGCCCCTACACGGCTCTTTGCTACAGATCAGCGTGGAAGACTCCAGAGACCTTGTGTAGGCAGATGGGCGTAACTGTAAGGGAAAGCATCTAATTGTGGATTCATCTGCGGTATGCAAATGGCACCGATAATACGAAAAGCATTGTCTTCTTGAATGAGCCATGGCACATCTCGAATGCTCTTATCTGAAGATCTCAAAGCTCTTGGCAAAAGCAGTGATAAGCGCGGCGGCAGCTGGTCCTCCCTTCAACTTTCAGCTGCCTCAGTATTTTCTGTCAAGAGGTTTTCCTGGGTAAAAAGGCTTTTTGCTCAAAGCAGAACTTTGCATTGAGTGTTGCGGGGTTCAGAAGGGGGGAAAGGATGTTTGCCAACACTAAACAGCCTAGGTCTGTAAAACAGCTTGGAGAGAGAGTTCTGATCTCTAGCAATAGCGTGGAGAATAAGTATTTCTCTGTTGCAGTGGCTGTCATTCCTGAGAATACCGTTCCCCAGAGCTGTTCTCTAGCTTGAGGCATTTCTGAGATGCCCTGCTCTCTTTGGGATTTCTCTTTTTATGGGTTTTCCTTTCACCTCTAGTCAATCAGGAAGAGGCAAGGACGCTAGCTTCGCAAACGCGCGGTTCTGTGCTCGCCAAGCTAGGAGGAACAGGCTGCCTGTGTGAAATCAATCCCACGCTCTTCTGGGTGCCCACAGCCGAACCGATCCCTTTGAAACACATCCCCCCTCGCAGCACCCAGCTCGGATAAGACACCTACTTGCTTCGGAAGTTATCCATGTTGCTCAGGACCCTCGTCAGCTCCGACTCGAGATTTTCCTGCTCAAAGTTGAGCGCCTTCATCTCTTGATTCATTTTGCTCATGTACTGGTCATAGATGGCCTTGATGTCCGACTCGGAGTGGGAATTGTCTTGGTCCTTCAGGAAGTTCCACCTCGTCGTCAGGATCTTGTTCTGTTGCTCCAAGGACTGGACCTACGGAAGAGGTTTTGGAGGTGTTAGTGACACCGACAGCCAAACCCGGAGCTGTCTGCTCCTGGCAGGGCAGGAGGCACTGACCTGGAGACCTTCAGAGTAGTGAGAACCTGCTGGAATCAGCAGAGATTTCCAGGTAAGAGTGTGAAACCCCCTGAGTTAAAGGCATTTTCAGAGGTTTTACATATTAGCTACTAATTAATTTCTCCATAGAACAGGTTCACATCTGGGCATCTTTTATTAAGTCACTGAAAAATAAGGACTGTGCAAGGCCAGTGCCCTTTGCCCTTGAACGTATTGAAGGAAAGGCTGAAAACCAACCACGGAGTCACACGCAGACGTCCAGCGTGAATGAAAGTCAGATTTACTACCTTGGAGTGGCGTGAACAAAGCTAACTCCTCTCCAATCTGCAGGATTACACTACGGTGAAGCTTTGAGGAATGAATCAGAGCCCTGGTTTATATTGCGAAGCAACAGAGACAAGGCCTATGAGAACTGTAGAGAATAAGGAAAATAATTACAGACTCCACGTGAGGCCTGGGTGTGCATGTGCCTGTCTGCCTGGCAGAGGATACGCTGCATTTTTCATGAATCTCGCGCTCTTCTTCCCCAATATTCACAATCCGCACAGTAGCGCTCGGTGCTTTAACAGTTTTTGTCTTCAAAGCTCTTGGCTGACTTCAATTAATTATCTAATTGCTACCTTTCTGCCCGCTCTGTGAACAAAACCAAACTCCTTCGCTCACGTTTTGGCTGGGGAGTTGTGAGCCGCCTCCAGCAGTGTCCTCCCCTGTCAGGGAGCTGGTCGAGCGCTGAGGCTGTGCGGTGGGGTGCGGATGCTCTCAGCTTTGACCTTCCCCTTTGACTTTTAACTTTCTGTGGCCCAAAGCTCATCGTAGAGACAGAGTTCCCACCTGCTGACCAGTGCAAGTGGCGAGAGAGCATCTCTCCCCAAAACGCTTCTGGTCTGGACAGAGAAGAGAGGAGCAGGGGGCAGCCAGGCAAAGGAAAAGCACTCCGACGCTCAGTTTTCAGCAGAGGGGATGTGAGTTGGAATCTTCCAGGTCTCGCTGTTAGAGATCTCTTCCTTTCTTGCTGGGAGGTGATTGTGAGTGGTCAGCACGGTTTGACGAAGTAGAAACTGTGTTTAACCAACCTGATAGCGTTCTACCAGGAAATGACTGCCTCGGGGTGGGAGGGGAGAGCTGTGGGTGTTCAGCCCAGATGTGTTCGATGGACAGTAGGAAAAATTTGTTCACAGCAAGAGCCATCAGCCCTTGGCGAGGGGGTGCAGTGCCCATCCCTGGGGGTGTTTCAAGGTCGTTGAGATGTGGGGTTGGGGGAGATGGTTTGGGGGGAGCTTTGCAGAGTAGGGCTCGTGGCTGGACTCGATGATCCCAAGAGGCTTTTCCAACCCAAGTGATTCGATGATTCTACGACTGATTCTGTGATTCTGTGTCTTGACACACGGCTGTAGGCATCCCATCAGCAGTCCGGTCTGCTGGCTGGTCCCGGCACAAAACCGGCGAGGCTGAGAACCCAGAGGAGGATGCTGCAGCGGAGCCAGAAAGGGCCATTGCAAGTGGCCCAAGTAAGTGGCCTCTGGGGCTACCAGCAGCCAGTTGGACCACTTGTTCTCTGCATCTCAGGGGCTGTGACAGAGCATCCTTCATCGGAGCTGGGGTCAACCTGTGGGGTGGGCTGTCAGGAACAGCCTCTTGTTTTAAGGCAGCTTCCTTGTTCGCTGCTGGGATGGTAAATGACTGAACATGGTGGCTGTTGTTCCAAGTCTGTCTCTGACCCTCAGAAGTCTCAGTTCCTCACCTTGCTCCTAATCCTTAGCTGCTCTTTTTCTCCCTCCCCCAAACTCTTCAGTTTTCTCTTGTTCCCAAGCCGTAGCCATCCACCAGACTGACGACATCTTGGCTTCTTGTACAGCGTCCCTCTAAGCAGACATTCTTCCTTGCAAAGTCTTCTAACACAAGCTTTGCAACATAAGAATCACCCAGATCTGGCCTCATTTCCTGGAAAATCGTGCCTGAACACAAGAAGAGTTGACCCAGGCTTGGTCCTCGGGGCCCTCTGCGCTGCTCAGGCTAAAGGTAGGGGCTCCATGACTTGGCTTTTCCCTGTCTTCCCTCTGGATGGAAAATAAATAGTAGCAGATCGGGAACAGCCTGCTAGGAAACCAGCAGCAGCAAACTCCTGAAGTTACTGTGGTCAATTATCTGAGGAATTAGCTGCTCGGGCTCGAGACCATTGGAATTCCTGATTAAAAAGACAACTTCTCCTTGACAAGGAAGTGTCATTTGCTTTCTTCTGGAATGAGGGCCCGAGGCAGATGGCTGAAGTTTGCCACTTGATGAACCATTGAAGCTGCAGCCTTCAAAGCTAAATGCAGGAGCTGCGAGCACTTAAAGCCAAAGCCACCCAGCCAAGGTGTGAGGTGTCTGTACCTTCTGTCCCTCAGGCTCTGTGATGCACATTCGCCAGCCGGCCACCAGGTTGGGTTTATCGCAGAACCTGGAGGCTCTTGCACTTCTTTCACCCCAGTTTGCACGGAACAGGCTGGTGCGTGTGGTCTGGCTCACGTCCATCTCATCACTGCTTGGTCTCATCCCATCTTCCCTACCCCCCAACCTTTCTGCTGAGGTCTGGTTTCTGAGCAGGGCTAACATCCACACAAACCCCTCCCCTCTCCATCTGGAGAGTCAAAAGGACCGGTCCTGCAGCGCATCCATCACAACCCACCGGGGTGATTTCCAAAGCGGGGGTTCCCCAAGATCTGTGCTTGGAAAAGGACAGACGTGGAGGCTGCCGTGCTCCTCCAGCCGAGGTCAGCCCCCTCCGCCCCAGTACAGCCGCGCGCCTGTTTGTGCGTGTAGGCGTGGTTGGTTCACGCTGTTTGGGTTGCTTAGGTGCTGTGGGAGATGGTTCCCCCGCCCTTCGCGTTCCCAGCGTGATTTCAGGTCCTCTTAGAGGTAGAGTTAAAATGAAACAACAACAAAAAGAGAAGTATCCCAAGCCATAGCAGCTTGGCATTGAGCGCCTGCATTGTAGACTGCAGTGAAGCAATCCTCCTCGGAGATTACCATCTGTTTACAGAGCGCCAGGGCCTTGCAGGAACCTGCCTCGGCGAGATGAGCTGTTTTCCTTTGAGAAAACCTTCTGCCTTCTCATGGATCTTAAGAGATGAAAGCGACACTTTCTTGGCTAAGCACGCAACCCCTTGCCGTAAAAACCACAGGGCAGGCAGGTGGGTGGGGGGGGTCTCCCTTGCCCACCGCGTTGCC